AAATAGATTAACCTGCTTGAAATGCACGTTGTTAGAGGGCTACAAACATAAGCAACAAAACTTTAATGATATCCTACCATCGCATTTAGTAATAGACATTTTTTTTTTTTAAATGATCTCCTAGTGGATCAGTGACATCTCTCAATAGTGAGGCCTTCCATTCCTGAAGTGAACTTCCACAGGCCACTTCAAATCTCCAAAATGGCCAACGTGGAAATGTTTAGACAGCCTCCCACCGTCTATTTAATCACACGTATTTCTGTATGTAGTCTTATGTTTCCGAGGCACTCCACACCACAAGTGAATTGCCTGTCTTTTCAAATTTCCTACTCTATGACTCTAATCCTGTTTTCCATGCAGGGGCACTTTAGAAAACCACGAGAGTACAGGATAACAAGCTGCTTTGCAAGATGAACGCTAGACAGTAGTGAGGCCTATTTGTGAACTGACTTATGCACTAACCCCTCAATGAGAGTGATTCAAATCTGTGCCCCATCTAATTTATAAATTAATACACAACAGGTTATTAATATTCTAGGTTATTCTAAAACAGACATCAAGAATGTAAAAAGTACCCCAGTACCTACAAAGCATGCCCAGGAAATAGGCAGTTCAGCACTGTGGCCAAGAGTTTTGGGCCCTAGAGTTGCAGATCTTTCTTGTTGGCTCTTTAAGTTACTTAACTGCTGCTACCTCCAAGACATGTTCATCCAAAGAATGAGTTTTATGAAGATTGAGTTAATACTTACAAAATGCTACAAAAAGAGTTGATAAACATTAGCTATCACTATTACAGGTATATGAATTTATGACTTTCTACATCATACTACTAAACAGGCTATATTAATATCTCATTCTTCTTCCTAAAAATAAAAATAATTCACTGGGTTTATCACTGCTTAAGTCATTCCAAAAGAAGAGGGGAGGGAAACTGAACTCTCATGTATCACAGTAAGAGTATAAATTGCTACAATCTTTCTAAACGGTAAATTGCAAATATGTATCAAAACCTTAAAATTTTGATTCTGCAAATCCACTTCTAGAAACTTATTCTAAGGAAAAAAAATCTCACAGGTATATACTAGGATAGTCACTGCGGATTTACTGATAATGGGGGGGGGCAGGGAGTAAACAATATCTAATAAAAATAAATAGGTTAAATTATTATAGGTGCATAAAATGGAATATTATTGTTACTAAACTATTATAACTGATAATACAGACATAGAAAGATTCATAATATGTTAAGTTAAAAAAAAAAAACAATCGCATATATAGGACCCCAAATTTGTTGCCAAAAATTGTATATGAATAGTCATGTGCACACACACACCAAAAAAAGGGTTTAGAGAGATACCTGCTCAGGCAATGGGCTTATGAGTATTTAATAGTTTTCTACTTTTACTTTTCTGTATTTTAATTTTTCTACCATAAATGTGCAGTCCTTTACAAGGGATATTACCTACCTGATCATCATAAACTGAGTGTCAGTTTGGTCCTGAAATGTACAATTAAGCTAAAAGTGATGACAAGGTTTATTTTCATTTAGAAAAAAACCTGATATTTATGTAATATTTGATGGATTATTAAATATTTAAGTTTTCAGCCTAGTTCTCCAATTTCTTTAGTACCAAGAAATTAGCAAGACACTTCTTTTTAACGTAATAGATTTCTGCTTACTACTATAAAGTGCAATAGTACAAAAATTAAATGGGTTAGCTTTTGAGTCTTATATTTTTATATATCTCAATTCTTTATCTTCGTATTTACCATTTGTTAAATGAACATGTCTCAAGAACTTATGTAAGCATGTAGAAGTATTTAAACTTTACTACTTTAGTCCCATTTTCAGCCGAGAAAGCTGAGACATTAAGAGGTTAGGTGACTAGATCAAAGTCACTGCACTCTCAAGCATATAATAGAATTTGTAATCTATGGAGTCCTATAATGGACTCTGAAAGAAGGGTGTGAAGGTCATATTTTATCAGTATGAAAATGAAATTAGAAAACATACCAGTGTTCTATATCTTTGGAAACCAATTTTACTAGCATTATGCTAGGCTTATCATAACTTATAAAATGTTATTTTGATATAGTGATAATAGTAATTTACCACTACACTGTGACTTATATTTACATTGTGCGTCTCTAAGCAAATATTTTGCTAGGTGACTTCTTTCCAGCTTATCACCTTGAGCATTCTATGCTTAGGAAAGGTTTTCTCCTTTCAGAACCAACCAAACTTTCAGAAATGACTGGGATATAGTACTTGTAGCTCCTAACTTCTAAAAATCAGTGACTACTAAGTGATAAAAGTAATTTTAAAAGTAAAGGTTTTAAAACATTCACTCATAAATATTTTATCAAGTTCTTCCAGACACCATTCCAGGCACTTAGGTTACAATGATGAACCAAAGTCTCTGCCCATCTGAAACGTTTATTACATATCACTTATCTGAAAGTCACGGTCAATTTTTATTAGCAGCCTAGGGTATAAAACATTGTTACTTGAAAAACTTAATATCCACTCCAAGAGATGGTATTAGGAGATACTCGTGAGGAGGAGGCACAATGCCAAAGGTTCTCCAACTTTACAAGCAGGAGAAATTCCTAGAGAAATAGTTGAAAATACTGATTCCAGACTTCCACCTCCAGAAGTATGATTCTGAGGAGAGGTGACAAAAATGTGTCTATTTAACAAGACTCTCAGTTAATGCTACGTTAAGTGATCTGAGGTCCAGACTTTGAGAAACCACCAGTAACTGGAGCCGTTCTGAAGAGAAAAGCTCTGCCGCAGTGGAATTTGAACTGAGTGATAAACCCAATCCTCGTGTAATTAATTCATTCTCTGTAATTCACGAATTTAGCAAATTAAAAAGATGAGTTACAGTAGAGGAATTTACCAGCACTTCCTCCCTAATCTCTAATAGGAAATTTGAATTTGCCTCAATCTAGGCATCTGGGAAAAAGATAGACTTAAGCAGAATTCTACTACCAATATTAGAGATAAGCATTAAAAAAAAAAAAAAAAAGGAAATTGCTAGTCAAGTGCAAAAAAAAATGCTAAGACGGACAAATATTTCACGGAACTAACTTGCTACCACTCATTTTATGCCCTATTTCACAATGTTTAGTATCTGAACAATCCACAGGGTTCCAAAGTACATCAAAAATTTGTTCATTTCCTCTCTTACTCAGGCAGAATAATAATAGTTTTGTGAAGGTACCATGTGCCTCAGCTATTTCAAAAGCTACATTCTTAAATTTAAAAAAATACCTTTTAAAAAAAGTTCTACCAGAAACTCCTTAACTGGAGCTACTTAAGGAGTTTTAAATAGTTTTAATGCCATCACTAGTGTCCCTCGTTTCTCAATTTAGATTACTTAAAAAGGTACTGGGTTCTTTACAGAAAGAACTCAATATTAAAAATATATATTTTTAAAATTATAAGCAAACACATCAAAACAATATGTTTAAGTAACCTATTATAAAGAAACAGACAGGTAAAATTCATGACTTTGAGGGGTGTTCAAGGTTCTGCACCGTAAGTCATCTAATCACAAAGGTATCCCAACAAATACATTCCTCCTATTTTAGAGATTAAGAATAGCACTACACAAACCAGCTGACCCGCTGGGTCTTGGCCCCAGTTGCTGCCCTCAGACCCTTGTCCACTACATAATCCATGGGATCTCCGAGTCTGTCCTCCATCCGTTCAAAGAGAGATGAGTAAAACTGCCTCCTCGTTGACAGAACTGAGATTTTCCAGATGCATTTGTTTGTATGGTATTTGTTTTACTATCTACACTTTTTGTAGTTGTTTTATTATTTGTATGCTTTGACCACGCAAACAGCTAGAGCAGGATCCAGCAGATAAGCACAAAGAAACGCATCTGTCCGGAGTCTGCATGTACATGAAATTTCGGGCTGGTGCTGCCTTCAGAATAGCACTGATGATGGCAAAGTTCTATAAGAAACTTTCATATTAAGAGGCTATCAAAAATCTCCATAGCCTTCAACTCAACTGAGACTCGCTAATCTATTTCTTCAAAAGCAAAATCTTCTTTAGTCTGAATCGCAACAAAAGATGCCCATAGGAAATGTAATCCACGAAGTTGTTTGCTAATCCAAAGGCAAACAGAAGTAAAGGAAGGTACAGCCCATTCCTTGCTGGTTTCCTTTTCCTGGGGATTCTGATTACATTTCCTCGTTTAGGCAAGAAGAGACCAGAATTGTGCCTTCGGTCCACACCATAGGAGCGTGCCTGCGCGTAAAGAAGGGAAGGAGGAGCGGCAGGCACCGGGGACGCGCTCCCACTGAAAGGAGAGCCGCTTTCTGTTAAATACCATCGGAGTCAGCCCCGGCAGAGCGATTTAGGGCCAAACGGCATTGACTGCCCTTCACTGACAGGGACTGTGCAGGCACACGAGAGAGAAAGAGGGATGAGCAGGGGACTCAAGGCCGGGGGGAGAGGCTGGCGGCGCGCTGCCGCTCCCGGCGAGCTCCGGATCCCCCGGAGGCTGGCGGGGAGGCGACGCTTGGCCACCGAGCCAAGCTCGGGCGGCCGAGGGCAGCGGGGTCAGCCCAGGAGGAACCGACCGCCCCCACGTCTCCCTAGGGAGGG